CGTATAATCGATCGAACGACCGTTCTTCAATTCCATTAAATCTGCCCTGTAGGAATCTTTACGTGGGACCGTAAAAACTATAGAATACTTCGCTTTATGAAAACCAGTATGGAAATCAAAAGTATTAAAGTTAAATAAAACGACCCGCAGACTGCATCGGTGGAATGAAGAAATTTTCCAGGAAGACATAGAATTTTCGACTAAAAATCCACTATGACTAGTTATATTAGTCTAGAAAGAGAGTATATGTCCATTATGAACACGCTTCATACCATTAGGTCTCCTATCTTCTCTCATCGAAAGGACGAATTTATAAATTGTAAAAACTATTAAATTATGTGCTTCCAGGAGGAGAACAATCTTCGTACGAACGTCGAGGGAGTCAGTGCTATAACAACGAGACGATCCGCAAATAAAGAGGACCTGCAGGAAATCTGCAAACATGAGCGAAGCAAACGGGCCGGCCATTAATATTCTCTCGTACGATCTGAACAAGGAACGCACGGTGGACCGACTCTCCCCAACCGAAGCTATAAAAATTAATTAGCTCTTAGAAGGAAAGGTCGACTAGTTTATACAGAATGGCTCGTTCACCAAAACCGTGAGGCCATTCTCCACAGGAACGATCATCGACTTCTCTTCATGTTCGTAGGATCTGAGCTGGCATGGTTCCTGTCATGGATACTCGATGGATGATCGATACGGTACCCCTCGAACAACGTTCGATTCAGAACCTTTTTTCCTGTGTTGTTGTTCCAAGGTATAATTAGTCACTGATTCAATTGGTCGTTGATGATCAACGATCGTTCGTTTCCATTCGAGAACGTTTTGTTAAGATGATTATGTTTTAGGTTTGGACCATGTTTACAAGGCGGCTTAAAATTTTTCATCACGTTATTTTAAATCATCTTCTATCATCGATGATAAAACATATGTCTTTTTGGTGTGATCATGGAAATAGTTTGTATTAATTGATCGAAGATACTATCCGTAATTGATCTGAAGTTCTTTACTTTAAGGAGCTTTTAAGCGTTCCCTTGAATAGGATGTGTGTATAATCCTCTCGAAATAATTTTGTATATTCTGTGAAAGTGCAATGACTCACGTTGTACACGAAATCCTCGATAAAGGTCGTGTATTTGCTAACTCTTCAGTCGGTAATGTTTACTAGCAGTAATGGATCGTTTTATAATCGTGGAGGAAAAGGAGCCAGCTGGATGGAAAATAAGAGAGAAGGATTATTTAATTCAGTGCAGTATTATACAGAACAGCGGGAATTCGATTATGGCTAGTATCCACAAATTGCCTTCTAGTTAGCAGGAGTATCTTGCGGTCGAACTATCGCGAGATAATTACACTTCAACCGCTATAATAGCAAGTTAGTTATAGAGCGGTGGATCTTGGCTCAGGAACTGCGAACTGGTTGATCGAGCACATCCACAGGGAAAGGAGCCGTTCTGTCACCGTTTTCTTTTCGAGAAGACAAACTTGGGTCCACGAATGTTTGAGGAAGCCGCTTACCAGTCATGTGAACCATGCGATGCCAATATTAAACTGGCTTTTTCTTTTCCTTCTTCTCTTGTTTATTTTTCCACGAATTCTGTTTTGGTGGAAGTTATTTTAAAAATTGAAGTTCCGTGCGTCCGAATAGCTCTTATACCTATAAAATTGGATAAATATCAGGTATTGATGGACTATTAACAGATCTTTACGATGAATAATGCTTGAATTTCTTTTTAATTATTATAATATATATTTTCCAGAAGAAAATGAAAATTGAAAATCTGCTGTGTTCGTGTAAATTACAAAACTAAACGTAGATCAACGCAGAAATTTAAGAGAAGAAAGAAAGCAGCCAGGTGTAATGCAACAAGAGGTAATAGATATTTTTCCAAGATTTAAAAGTGTCTGCAAGAGTCAACCCACGGAACCTTCTCACACTATGTGCACTGGCGTTCGAGCTCGAGAGCTCTTCGCCTTCGGAACAATAAAACCATTTCTGTGGGGGAGTGAAACAACTCTGAAAACCGTTCTTCAGATTGCTCATGGAGGCACAGGTAGATCTATTCGGCACCTGAAAGTAGAATTCTTTCGCCAGAAAATTCTTCCGTTTAATGACATCTGGTATTTTATGTTTAACAACATTCATAAATATTTAACAACTTTATTAGCAACGAATTTGAATTTCCATGCTTGATACATCATTTTTCCAGTTATAGAATAATGATTTCCAACCCCAAACTGAGCGAGAAAACGAACAGACACTGTCTCCGATGGAAAGAGAGCTGTAACAGAAATTCGACTGTCGCAAAACGAATTTTATGTGGCAATTGGAAATCAGAGCCGAATGACTTTCGTTCAGGGCTCCTTTATGGTACTCACAGGCTTGCATATGGAGACGGTAGTTCGTCCACGAACCCTCGAGGGTCGAACAATCGAGTGCCCCAAGAACTACCTACTCACTTACGGACTCTCACCTCGACTAGCCTACCTTTTTCCCTCTCTCTCTCTTTCCACTTCCCTCCCCCTCCCTTTTGGCAGCCCTGTCCTGCGGCAACGAGTCATAACCACAAGGAGTACAATGGGTGGAAACCACTGGCGGCTTTTCACTGCCACTTCTTCGTCCCGCCAATTAATTCCCGTGGTGCTGATCTCGTTCCTCAAGGAGGCTACTCAAGAGCTGCCGATGGATGAGCATAAATCTTCAAATCCTTCTCGTCGTCCTTCTTTTTCCCCCCTTTGCCTCGTGCTATTAATGCGTTTCACTTGTGAGGTCCGCCTGAGTTGTAAGGCCCTCGAGTGTTTACGATGCCCCAGTCATTCATCTTTTTATTGCTGGTCCCTTTAAGACGCCGTGCGTACGTCTAATTGTTACCTGTGTTTTATAGCTGGTAAAATAAGTTATATGGTGGCATAGTCCTTTCTAAAAGAAGGGTTAAGAGAAATTTATAATTATCGAAAAGATAACAGGAATTTTATTCTTGTATTACGTGTAATAATTCGTGGTAAGGTGAGCAATCAAAGAAAATGAGATAGCAAAGATTTATTCTTTTTCTTTGTTATCTCATCTATTACACCATGAATTATTATTCAGTAAATCCTACATTACACTCAGCTGCAATTTGTCATTCGGCACTATATCTGATTTTCCCTTTCCTTTTTACTAATCTATGCCACATTGAGTTAGATTATGACTAGTTTCTTACACTCATTTGTTAAAATAAAATACTATCATCCTGATAAGAGTAATGATAATAACAATAATAATATTGTTACAGTGACGACATTATAAATGAATACTTTAACAGAGCATAATTTCATCGGGAAAATTCGTGGGAATCTGGACAGATCTTTCCCAGGAGCATCTGCAGATAAAATATTCGTGGCTCAGCAGTGGAAATAAGGAATTGTCGCATGGGTGATCCATTTCAGAAGACGCGGACTGCTCTCTATGGGTGTCTAGCCGGCGGAAAAATTGAAAAGCCGCGCTAATTCGCGCGACAATGCTCCCCGACTGCACGCCGGAACGAAAGTTTATCGCGAACCTCGCGAAAAACGACCTTTGGCTGAGTGCCAATCGTGGCACGATCTTCCGGGGCTCATGGCCAATGACGAGGACCACTCTTGTCGCGCCGACTTGCATAATTTATTATCGACGAACGTTTCGTCGACAAATGGTCGACGTCTCACACCGTTACGAAAAATTTCGTGGCCAATCAAACGCTGATCTTGCTTATTCTATCCTTTACCGATCATTTCTGTTGGTCATCGAATTATTCGACGAAGTGACAACGCACTCGTGTCAAGACACATGATACGTCTACCGATCAAGGTTTCCTTCTCTCATACACGACTGTCACGTGCAATATAAAATGTGCGATAATAGCAATTCTCACTCTGTACCTTTCCGCAGAGTTTACAATATTAGTTTCTTTCTTACCATACTTGCTTGTTAAGATGAGTATAAGAGTCAGGATGTATCGACATAAAACTATCCAACAAGATATACATCGTGTGGAACTTACTGTTCTTATCTACACTACACTGTTTTTATTATCGGTATTAGTATTAATGTGAATGAACAAATTGTAACATACTAAAGCCATTTTATATCATCGTTTAGGCCATTCCGTGGGAACTGCAGCAGAACCGCGAAGATGCACCAACGATCCGCGACATGGAATCAGCTCCATGGTTCTCCTTAACCTCGACTTGCCGCTGTGACGCTCGGTGATGGATGCACCGGCATTTACCAAAGTCGCTCGCCGGCTCGTGAGAGTCGCCTAGACGATAGAAGGATCAGGGTGTAAAAAAGCAGCGACTCCGCCGGAGGAAGGACAAAGGAAAGGAAGAAAGAGAAAGAGAAACGGTGGGGTGGAGAGAGGAAGAGGTGCGAGATCCAAAGGCGGCTAGAAGGGGAAGAGAAAGAGAAATGAGGGAAAAAGGAAGGGAAATAGGTGTGCGCTCGGAATTCAGAAGCGGAAAGAGGGATGAAAAAAAGAAAAGGGGATAGAATAGGGAGGAAAAGAGAGAAAAAGGCAAGGAGAGAGAATGAAAGAGTAAGAGGAAGAGAGCTGGGATTAGATCTCAGGGTGAGTGGGTAGGATTGGATTTGGCAGAGGCGGCTCCGTTGGTGGTAGAAGGTTGCTGGAGAAGGAGGAAAGGGGAGGTAGAGACTTTGGTTGGTGTCCGAGTGGTGGTGGGGTTGCAGTGAGGAAACGTACCGAGTCAAGGGAGAGAGGCAGAGAAGGAGAGACGTAAGTGACAGAATAGGTAGTGGTGTAGGTGAACTGGACAACCACCAGAACTCTCGCCAGTATTTAAGGGAGAGTCGCGAGCGTAGCGCGCCAGTTACTACGGCCGATTGCCTCCACGAGGTGTCCCCGAGCTAGAGAGCCAGCGTGCACACACCGATTCTAGTGGAAAGAAAAGAGCGCGAAAAGACTCAGCCACGTGACTCGATTTTGCGAAACGTCTCTTCCGTCATTGTTGCAACCTTATCATTCGTGATTTTCATTCTTACGTCCGAGACTTAGATAAATTCAGTGACGAGTAAGTCCGTCGAATGATGCATGTACAGCGAAGTCAGGGTATCTGAATTTGCAAATTTGATTGGAGAAATTGAGAAATAATAATATTTCTGTTCGCCGAAGGGACAAGTGATAGTAAAAAAAGGTGTTTATAAGCTCGTGATAACGTTAGCGAATATGAACGAATGTGCGTCCACTGAGGAAGTTCGCCGCGGTTCACGGAAGTGCACGATTTATGGAAGAGTTTGAACCGACGCGCCGAGGGCTCTTTGGAACTTTCGCTCGTGAACCGTGCAGATGAGTGTGCTACCAAGGTATCGTACGATATAGACGCGTTCATCTTACGAGAAAAAAATTTGTTCTGCGAATTGTAAAACATTTACGATCTATCGTTTCTTTCGCCGCAAATAACATTCGGAGAATTGGATTTTGAAAAAACACCCAGCTGAAAGAAACGATACAAGAATATATACGTGTCGCACTCATCTTATTCTTCTGATTCTTATGTGTAATCGCGATAACGTGTTCGCGAATACGTGTATAAAAGTATGTATCATCGTCACGATTATTTTCAATAATAAGCCCACTGAATTCTGTTAAAAGGGAATAAATCACTCATCGAATGTTAAAAGTATGAAAATATTGCAAAATTCTGAGTCGAGAATCTTTTTCTATGCGTTTCTATTTCATTTTTCGTTTCATTTTACGTTCCTTTTCCTTTTTTCTTTATTTAACATTTCAGAGAAAGAATTTTTTTCCGATAGAATAGCAGAGGTTTATAGAGCTCTAAGAAAAAATAATAAACAGTTCTGGAACATATGGCTGTGCAAATATCATACGTGTTAATTACGTAAGAGCCGGGATACGGAGGCGCGGCTTCTTTTATCTTCCCAATGAAAAGGAGATGATTAAGCCTCCGATGGCAAAATGCCAAACAGTTCTCCGCAAACGGCGAAAAGAAAACGACAGGATCGCGGCTGGTATCGGCCCGGTGCTTGTCAAAGCCACGGCGCTTTAATTTCTTTAAATCGGAGCAGAACGCCAGAAATTGATACCTCCGTTACATCGTTCATCGATCCGACCAATTCCCTTTACAACCCGTCTGTTATTGAATTTGGCAATAACATAGATAACTCAACAATTTCTAGAACACAACAGATACCACATTCCAAACATCAAAGTACTTGATCGTCATTTATTTATCAAATATGCCAAAAGAATTTGAGAACTCTCATAATTCACTCTAACATTAGATTTTTAAACAAAAGTGAGAAATATTTCGTACGTACATAAATTTGTTTAATATGACTAAAACAAACGCTTCGCTTCGGAGAAACAAATAGCAGGAACTAAAGTTGTAACCAAACGTGCAAATTAAACATCGGTTTATATAAAATAATAATACTGTAAGAGTCGAGGAAATACTTTTTATACAAATTCGATTAGTACCTGAGAAAATGTATCTGAAGAATAAAAAAAGAAAAAGAAAGGAAAAGAAGAATTGGTCGGTAATGTTAAGCCGGATAGTGAGAGGAGATGTAACGTGAGACTCCTCCGGATTCCTCCGGCCAGAAAATAAAAGGATAGAAATAAAATTCAATTTGCTACCAGGCACCGCGGTGGATATCTTAACGAGGTAATAAATATCGCGTGTGTCCAGGGAAAGAAGGCGAATCGTTCGGATCCGGTACCCGATGCTGTTGGTATTGGGGCTGCTCCTGGTGCTGTCAGACGCCGAAGCTGTTCACCAACAATCGAACCACCTCCTACCGTTCACGAACACGTCGTTCAGGTTCGCCAAGGGCGCATCTAATCGCGGTATTTCAGTCACCACGATCCTGCAGGATGGGGAACTCGAACGGGTCATCCGGTTGCCTGGAATTTGCGCCAAGGAGACTATCGTCAATTGGGGGTAAACGATCTTCTTTGTGCCTTTCGACGTTCATTTGCCTTAGCATTAACATCTCTACACATTTGCTATTTCTGTAAAGCTCCTTATATCGATAGTTTCGTGCACATAAAATCTTCTTTGAAATTTATTTTGCACTTTTGAGAAGAAGGAATCTTTCTCAAACAAGTACTCCTTAGAATGTAGGGGCGACGTTGTTTTATATAACAATTTAACTTCTTTAGGTACTAAGTTTTCAATACCATAACGATCGATGACGAATCCAACTCGAGACAACTTATCGTAACACGGACTATCTGTAATTTAAATGGATTAGCTAGTTTATTATAATACTGTCAAAAATCTCCAAAGATACCTTTTGCTACTTTACTCATCGTAATATCAGACGTGAACAAGATCGCAAAGATTCCTCGACTCCTTCCTCGATCACAGAGTTCGATTGTTTTTTGTATCAACGTTAGAGCAACATCGTGCTATCCTCTTTGCCTGGAATAACAATTCCTTCGACTAGGAGAGAAAATCTCCTCGAGAGAGTATCCCTCGGCTACAATTCTCCCGATTGGAGCAGTAGAAGTCGGTGTTAGCCAAGAGGAAAACAATGCCTCCTTTCAGCATTGCCAATACGCGTGGGAGCCACGAGACTGGCTACGAATGCATTTAACATCGGTTACCTCTTTTAATACGCCACCGTTTTTACACCGGCGCACTGATACCGGCCATCCGTTTACAGTTTGCTGAACGTGTCCTTGTCAAACGGAAAGCTCATAGAATTACAACACTTGCCGTGCTAAATCGAGTTGCTCGGCTTCTTTTTTTAAAAAAGGACCTATACATTCATACATGCGCGTAGCACTCTCCGCGATTTATAAGTTCTTTCTTTTTAAAGATCGGATGCTTCATGGTAATTTTTTAGATTTACATGAATCCACAGGGATGAGCTTGATAGCTTGATTCTTCGGTTCGATGGTATACAATCAGGCAGAATGATAAACAGTAGAAGTACCAAACCAATGAAAATGGTTGGTTTCAGATTTCTTGTTCTTGATAAAATTAATTCCAATAACTTATATCGAGATAAAAACCTGTAATTATATATATAATCGTTTATTTTACTCTAGTTAACACTCTCTATGTGTATTATATTTAAATATATATTACTGATCGATAACTCCAGTGCCAATCGTGTCTGACGATAGAAAATGGTTTTAAATCTAGGAACAAATAAATAATCGAAACATTCGTTCATACGTTCTCGAATGAAGAAATAAAAGTTCTTAAAATATAATAAAATGCGATCTCGGATTAATTTGAACCTATTGCGAAACTTCTGCGGGACATTTAAATCCGTCAGTTATCAGTAGAGAAAATGATTTTTCATTTCTCTAGACACGACAAAAATGAAAGTTAAAATGTGCTCCCGATAAGCACCTCGTCCAACACTCGCTATATCGCGTTTTGCTAAATTTCGGGATCGAAAAACAATTTATCGCGTTCAGCCGTGAACAGTGACCGCTAAGCCAACCGAGGCCTTAAGCCGAAAAGCGGCAAGTTAAGTAAGCAAGGATTAGGCGGAAGCAGGAGACCGAACATCGAGAACGGCCCCGGCTGCTGGCCTCGGACCAGCGGTTGTAACTCATCTGCGGATGCTCTCACGAGGATACCAGGGAATTCCACGACCGCGAAACGTCACCTTGCACTTAAATCGGTGAAAGCTCTTTTGCTGTAACGAGAAAAGCACGCGGCTTGCCTGTTCTCATGATTCACCAACATCACCGCGTTGTGAGACCATCAATTTTTCATCCAGTAACGAAATCTTCCTCCTCGATGCATACGTTCATGGATTTTGAAGAATATATAACGTTCAGATGGTCCCGATTGGATGAGCATAGTTTCGTTTCAGGCAATCTGAAATTTTAATAGGATAATGTATTATAAATATGGTACGCGAGAATATTAGTATTCGAGGGAAGACATGGATAATATGTCAAGGATAATTACACACTGTTATCCGGAGACAGCCGTTAACGAATTTAAGTGCGACTATCGAAGATGATTATCGACACGACGAAAAAAGAGGGAGCATCAATCATAGGTGAACGGTTAATCATAAGGAAGTATCGTGCAACCCGTGCATGTGGCCAATCTAGCGTGAATTAGGGCGTCGCATTAGGGTTTTCGATTCTTTAACTGCTTCTGCGACGAGGCCCCTTTTTAAATTAAAGAAGCATCCCTTCTTTCATAATTCATTGTTAATTTTAATCGCTAAAAAATGAGATATTGGTCAATGACACTTATCGTGAAAGAAAATAGAATTAATTGGTAGCATATCAAAAAAAGGAGAAAAATTTCTTACAATTCACAGTTATAATCCTAACATGCTTAAACCTCTTGTATAACGTAACGTTAAATGAATTTTATCAAAAAATCACTAGGTTCTATTTTATATAATGAATATATCTCTGGTAGAGATACAGACGTAGCACTGAGGCAAGTCTGGCTACAGGAGACGGCCAGAAAGTTGCAACTGATATACGAGGGTGGCACGCTGACCGACTGCGTGGACGACAAGCTCTCCAACGGTGACGAGAGATCCTGCACGTTAAGCACGCACTTGGAACACGATTACGCTGAGAAGACATCCGTCGAGTTGTTCGACGTGGATGACCACAAGGACGCGTTAAGGATCCCGCAGAGCCTCTCCTGGCTCTCGTCCACATCCGACCTGCGTCATCGGTGCACCCACGTAAGGAACAGGGCACGAAATCAACTGATAACACAGTATCGACAAAGGTATGAAAACTGTGAAAAAAAAGATAATATAAAATATCTCATAAAGTAAAAAATTGAAGTTCTGCTTTATAGTATTGCTGAGAAATTAAAGAAAAATACTTAACCTCGAATGAGAATAGCAAAAGATTCCGAAAACAAATTAATTGTTAAGTCACTTTAAGTGGAAATAATTAATAAAGTTCAAATTTCACATATCTGTCTATATTAATAATTGTATTTCCTTTTGGAGTATACCTTGAAATTATTTCCACCATTTCCAGCGGTCGATAAGATCATAATTAATAAAATAAATAAATTTCGAAAATTTATACTCACATTCCACTTTTTTTTATGTTATATAATATAGAAAATACACGAAACTGCTGAACGGAACAAGCAGCCACCATCGTCAGAGACGAGGTAAAAGCCGTTCACGAAGGGACTTGTTGATGATTCCGGGGACACAATGGTGCGGCCGCGGTCATCGGGCCACGAAATATACGAATCTAGGTGGTTTTGGCACAGCAGATGCCTGCTGTCGTAAACACGACACAGCCTGTCCTTTTTTCATTCCGGCTTTCGAGACTCGCTACGGTCTTTTCAACTGGGGTATCTCAAGCATGATGCATTGTGCATGTGACGAACGGTAGCAAATATCAATTATTTTTAAACGATTCTGTCAAAGATCGATATCGATAGAAATCTAACCTATCAAATCATTCATTACGTTTACAGATTTCGTACGTGTTTAAAAATGGCCGACACAGCATCGGCGAATTTTATCGGCAAGATCTTCTTCGACATATTAAGAACAAAGTGTTTCATACTAAAGCCTCAAAAGGTTTGTACGAAATGGTCTTGGATGGGCAAGTGTCAACACCACGAGTACCGAAAGCAGGCTCACGTTCGCGACAATGTTCGTTATCATTAAATGGAAGAGGTTCGAAAAATGGTGGATATGTTTTGGAATATTCTTCTTCTAGAGATGTCAATATCAATTCTCAGGGATGTAATAGTTTATCGAAAGTGTTCAATTATGACCCAAAGGGGCATTTTTGAACAGCAGATCGGAGATAAAAGCAATCATCCTGTTTGACCGTCTGATTCCACGAATGACAATACGTAGTGGTCACGATAGGAAATATAATCGTATAGAACAGATTTGAGACAGTTTTATATGAAATTTTTGTTTGCTTGGTTATCTTTTAAAAAAGTCTGTTTAATCAATCTTAATTTGTAATAAAAGAATTAATTAATTATTAAGTATCTAAAATATTTAAAACATACCGATTATATAAATTACACGAGATAAATTTAGTTAACAATCTTTTCATTTTTGATTTGTAATATTTCCAAAACTAGATTTTTTAAATAGCAAAGTTTTTACTTAATAATAAAATAAAGCAATACATTAAATCGAGGAATAAAATTGTTCGAAATAGACAGGGTATAATTTCCATTATCTATATGCTAACTGTGTAGTCGTTATTGTCTTCAGAGATGCCAAATAAATTATTCTGTAGATAAATTATAATAAAACTGTACATATAATGAGTAGCTTAATTTTTCAAATATAGAAAACCTAGAAAAAATCAATATATTAAAGAGTAGCTTGGTCAAATTGTTATCGAATATTATTCTTAAACAATGAAAAGGACTTTGTCTCCAATATTGTTAAACTTTGTGATCAAAAATCTGCATAATATTTAAATTGTTTTTATTTTATTTTCATTTTTACATGTTTAGTATCATTGATTTCATATTAATTGTGTTTGTGCATGTATTCAGTACGTTTGTATTTATGTATGAATGAGGCATATTTTTGGGATATGTGTAAAAATGTTGAAAAATAAATCGAGATTGTAACAATACAATAGTATTTAAATAATGAGTCATACTATTTAAACTAAACATTTAAAATAATATGAAATAAGTATAATAAGTTAAATGCACAATACATCTTTGTATTGTATAAATGAAAATAATTCACATACATCGTAATTTATCGCAGCCCTTAATAGTGAGTATATTATTGTAAATATGTATAATAGCAACACAGGATCATCATCTTTAATAAAGGATGCATTATAAAAATTATTGTCTTTTTTTCGGTAAAATTTAAATTTATTTTAAATTCTGATCCAAATTCAAATTTGAATTTGGCGCATTATAACGCACGTGTTTCCGTTATGCTACCTGTCGAAAATACGCGGTTTATGTCTACGAAAAAATAAATTTCTAAAACAGTCAATCTTTTATTCAGTTACAATTTTGTGTCATCGAAAATTTGTATTATCTAATATTAAATAAACGTGCTTAAGTAAATAATCATTATTAGAAAAATTCAGATCAACTTATTTGTAAATATAAGACAATTGAATACAAAGATGCACAAAAATGAATTGCGAACAAAGAATGGTAAAATCGATTGTCCATTATCCGAATTAGATGCAGGACTCACTTTAAAAGGTGGTCAAAGTTTCAGGTGACTTATTAATAATACTATAATTAATCTTTTAAAAGAACATAACCAATATTTCTTTCGTACTTATGATTCATCTAATACAATTTGTCTGTGAATTTTTAAATAGCTTTTTTTTTTATTTTATAACGTGTAAAACCAAGAAAAACTCTTTTATAGATGGTTTTCTTACAATAATGGATATCGTGGTGTGTTTCATGGATGTGTTTGGACCCTTAGACAAAGTGATACACATCTATCCTACATAGTACAAGGTGCACTAGTAGATTCTACAAACTATGATAAAATATTGTCTGAGTACTTCAGATTGAATGAATGTTTAGAAGACCTTTGTAAAAAATGGACTACAATAGATCAACATTTTAAAAAGTCCTTAAACAAAACAAATGGTGTTAGAATATTAAATCAGGATGTTGTTGAAAATGTATTTTCTTTCATATGTAGCTCTAATAACAACATCCAAAGGTTTGTAGCATAATATTTTAATTAATATATTATATACTTAAATATATCATCATTTTAGAATATCAGGAATGGTAGAAAAATTATGTATGTTGTTTGGTGAAAAAATTTGTTCAATTGATGGCAAAGATTATTATAATTTTCCATCTATTGCTACACTAGCAATGGAAAATGTTGAAAGCAAATTAAAAGAAGAAAAGTTTGGTTATCGTGCAGGATATATAGCAAATGCAGCAAAGCATTTGTTAAAATTTGGAGGAAAGAAATGGCTTTTAGATTTACACAAACAATGTGATAAACCATATACTGAAGCTAGGGAACAGTTAATTACTCTCCCTGGAATTGGCCCAAAAGTGGCAGATTGTATTTGTTTAATGTCATTAGGTCATTTAGAAGCTATTCCTGTAGATACTCATATCTTTCAAATAGCTAAAACAAGTTATTTACCTCATCTAAGACAATATAAAACTATCACTCCAAAAATTCATGATGAAGTTGGTAATTATTTGCGGAATTTATGGGGTCCCTTAGCTGGCTGGGCTCAAGCCCTTGTTTTCTGTGCAAAAATTAATGATGGTACTGCTATTACTACATCGAATTGCAAACGTAAAAGTAATACAACTGGCAAATTACAAAATCCAAAAAGTTTTAAGAAATAATGTTAAAATGTTTAATAACAAAGATATTTATACTTAATAATTTCTTTTAATCTATATTTACATTATATTATAAAATGTCATACATATATCAACATTATTTAAAAATAAAGGGTTTTATGAGCTATTTAAAATTATGTCTGTTTAGTTATAGTGTAATTATCACATTTGCACTATTTCTTTTTGTTTCTACCTACACCTACTAGTGCAAAATCAAAATCATCTAAAATCATGTACTCTGTTAAAGATTCTCGTTCATCTTTTTCATTCTCATCATTATCATCTGTAAAATAGAATATTTATAGCATAAGTTATTTATATATATTTTTCTGTAAATAACAATAACTTACTTGAATGAGTTTTTAAAATTTCTGCAAAGATACTCTCAGTAAGATATCGTAATCCTGGAAACATAGTTGATAAATATGTTCTATGTGATGATTTTAATACTGACAAACAAGTTATTTGTAAAGATGCTGGTACAGAGTAACTATAAGTCAATTTGACTCTACTTTGTGCAGCTGTAGAACATACCATAGGATATAACATTAAGTCCCTTAATCCAGCAAAGGCAATACCTAAATCATAAAACCATTATAAAAAAGAAAAAAAAATATATACCAATATTTATAACATTATAAATTTACCTAATGGTTTTCTATTAAGGAAAAATTCTAAATTGCCCTTCCATAAATCCAAGTATATTCCTACTATGCTACCCAATCCAAAGCAAGGGCCATACCTACGTTTTTCACCATCATGTTGTATGTAACCTTGATAAGAAAAACCAAAAGATTCTTGGTCAAGCCCAAGAAAAGAATAAAAAACATTTCTTGTACTATTTAAATCCACTTTATTTGTTCCAACTCCAACCATCTAGAAATATTATTTATGAAAATAATGACATAGATGTATATATTAATAATTATATATTATTAATTTTTATTAAATACTTACAACATCTGTCCCATACGTGGGAGTGAGCATTTTGATTTCCCAGTAATGGTATCTTCCTTTTTCTAACACTTTGGTACCTCTCACAGCTGCTGTACCAAAACTATATTCATTGTGAAATTGGACTTCTAAATCATTTTCTGATAACACAATCGAATACGTAGCATTATTTTTATCCCATTGCCATTCATGTACTAGATACATAAATAACACAAATTGAAATTTATAAAGCATAATATATAAAATAATGTTTTTAGAAAAATTAAATTCAATTGCTGATGAAGGAAGAAGAACAATAATTACTTAATACTCTTTTAAATATTTATGTCTTACCATTGGTTTCTCCGCAATGACAATTTTGCGATTTGCAATTACAAAACCTTGCAGCAGGCTGAAATAACCATTTAGTATCATATTCAAAACTCATAATTTCAGAGATACTTCCACTGTTTTTTAATTACTCGTTCACAATAAGTTATTGCACTATAATAGGTTATTGCAGATTAATTTACTTATAATCGATACTCAACTATAACTTTAATAATGGCAAAATTATTCGTGCACGTGCGGACATTGTACACATACACATTTGTATATATGATGATTTTATTAAATGTAAATTTACATCTTGAAAAATATGATTAGTGTCATTATTATAGTTATAATGATACTGAATAATCGCAACTGTATATAGGTATAACTTTTATCACTATTCGAATTTCACCAATTTATTTTTTCAAAATTTAATTGCATTTAAATATACTTAATGATAAATTATACATGCATTTTATTAAATTTAACGTTGAAAAAAAATATTTACAAATGTAAAACCTGTAAAATATATTTGATACGTAATAATTGAAAACCGCGGTATAAATGCTTGGTTCAATATTCTACTAGATTTATATTGGCAGAAGTGTTCAAATGAGATCAGAGCAAATTTCTGTCTTCTACTGAAATTACGCAAGAGATAATCGTGGGTTCTTGTCGCTGAATTTATTGAATTCTCAGTAAAATACTGTAAAAAATGTTACGGTTTACGGGAAAACAACTAAATAACATTGTAAAAAATTCAATAATTTTACGCAGTACTACTGTAAGTCAATGTATCCGCGCTTCACACGATGGACCTGTAGAAAGTGAAGAACAATTTAACGAAAGATACGTGAATTATTTAAATCGTCCTAGTCTCGATCACTGGGAAATTCGTCAGACTATGAACAAATTAGCTGGTCAGTAATCATATAATCATTTGTTTTTACTAACATTATTTAATACGTTCTTTAAATTTAAATTTAGTTAATTTTCTATTTTCAATTTTTCCTTTATTATTTCTCTATAATTCTAATTCTTAATATTTTGTATTAATTTTAATTAAAATTAATATTATAACAGTTATTATGATAATCACCATTTTTTCAGGTATGGATCTTGTACCTGATCCAACTATTATTTGTGCAGCATTAAGAGCTTGCAGACGATTAAACGATTTTGCTCTTACCATTCGAATTTTGGAAACTGTAAAGGATAAATGTGGATCTAGGCTTAATGAAATATATCCGTACATATTGCAAGAAATCAGACCTACCTTAGATGAATTAGGTATCAACACTCCAGAAGAACTTGGTTATGATAAACCAGAATTAGCTCTCCAGTCAATTGATGATATTCATTAATTAAGTTATTTATTTAGAACTCATAAAGATAGTATCTATGCATAGAGGTGCTTTCTGTTAAACCTTTCATAAATAGAAGTTCAAATTTTAAACTAGGATAAAAGTATATATATATCTATTATCATTACATCTTTGTTATTAAATATTGATGTAGATAAATACAATACTTATCATACTATGTGATATATGTTTCATACGTGGAGCACAATATTCATAAATTGGAAAAATATATGAAATAATTGGTATTTATATACTGTTTTTAAGATTATTGAAATTAACAAAACAAAATGATATGTATGCATTATATTTTAATTGCAAGTTCCATTGGTTTCTCATATTGCTTCTAAATTTTTTGCATTTTTCAAGGTACCTAATTTTTTTTTTTTTTTTTGGTATTTTTACATCAAAAATAACCAAAGCAGAAAGGTGACATAGCAATGACATATGTACAAATTGCATTGTAAGATACACAGCGATAAAGTCATGTACACATACATCTATAATTATCTAAAATGGTATTACATTTTTTTTCTCAAATGACATTAAACTTAATTTATGTTCTGTGTAATTTGTTACAAACAAGAACAAAAGAATACAACATGATCTTACATGGGAGTATCAATATATTACATTTTGTAATGGCCATAGTTTTAAAAAACAATATAACAATTAATATCTAGTCATTGTGATCCATTCTACTGATAATTATTAAATTTAACTACTTTATTCTATAATGTTATAAAAACGTTCTTCTTTTTTGGTATTGTTCATACTTGGTGTCGAGGGCAGTTTGTTGTTTCAATGTTACGACTCTGCTCCTGACATATGCTTTTTTTAAAGAGAAGAGTGTACTACACACCTACAGGAACTTCATTCATGATAATGACATATGTAATAAAAACCATGAATTAAACAAGTATCACAAATTCATTACTAGACTCATCAGAAAACTATATATGTATACTTATGATGCACACAAGAATACTAAAAAGTATAAAAATGTAAACAAGATCATTAAAATAACAAAAATTCATTTTCAAAAGTCAATCACTCATCCTTGCAAAACTTGATACCGCAACATTGAAACAAGATTGCACAAAAAAAATAATATTCTTCCTAATATTAAATATATTGTATAAAAGTGAGTTGGCATTTAAATGCATGAAAACGTTTCAATTCTTTTCCATTAATAACAAAAATAAATATATTTTAGATTACCTGAAAAGAAAAATAAAGAACAATACACAATTCCTCATTTCTGCATTCTGCATATTATCAAAGTAATACAGAATGGAAATGAAAGAATAAAATTTCTATTTTTTTGAGAATTATATAGTGTTCTTTATAGCAGTACTTAAAAATAATTCCCTAGTATAACATAGTATTAATACAATAAAAGTAATTATGTTTTGTGGGTGTGCATTGAGACTTCAAATCCATATGTCTTATTTTTCAAAAAATTATGTCTTATAGCCTATTTGTACCCGTCAGAAATGCTTAATTTTTTTTTTATTTATCGCTACTGTCGATTATTAATGTATATTAATATGTATCGTTATATGTCTCTATCGCCGGAAAACGATTCATTTTTATATTTCGATTTATCATAAAAATAGGCTACATGATTTTTTAAAAATTTGATAGCCAAATTTGATTAACTCAAACATTACATTTAAATCGGAATCCTAATACCATGAAACATTATTTTTCATTAAAATTTCGAAACGTTCTTTGTATATGACACATTTTGTTTATAAATATTTCCAATATCTTAAGTAAATTAAGATTTATTTTTGCCCCCAAAAATAGTCTGTCATTAACGAGGTCTACGAATAAATTCGTTATGAATTATACTGTATACAGCATTAACTTTTTCAATCAAAGTTCATTTCAGATTATTAACTTGTAATTAAATTATATAATTTGTTAATAATCATCTTTTCCATAAAATAGTATAACGTAAATTTTTAATTCTTTGGTATATCGATCGTTTTTAAGGATCCGACACTAAGACTAGACGAAAATATTTGTATCCGTGTTTACTTATTGGAAAATGGTAAATATCCAAACGGTGGATACTGTCACTATAAATACATCGATGAAACTTGCATATCTAAAGATTTGCATTCATCGAGCGCCGCAGTACTTTCTAAAAATTAGTACTATCTTCGAGAAATTGAATTACAAGTGAATACTTCTAAATGTCTACAATGAATCTTGAATACAAATATGATTACATTCAAGTCCAATGAGTCATCGAACATTCAATCATTTTCACTCTTCAAACATATTCGCTATTCGTTTACTGTTTCTCAACAAGAGGACACACTACACGATGATTCAGAAAAGACACAATCATTTTCCTTAATATTAATAACACATATCATTTCTAATACTCTCACTCTTTCTCTCATGAACACCACTAATGTGCACCTGTCGCATTTTGGTGTTAACATAAAAGCTTTATATTAACTATGTAAAACGCTTTATTCTGGACTAGAGACGGTTTGTTGTTGTTGACTATCCTCGTCTTTTACAACTTCGGCTTGCATAGCCTTTGTGAGGACATTAGCATCTTTCAATGATATCACTTGAAGAACTTGGTGTTCACCTGCTGCGTTTATCATTGTCATAGGATGCCCTTGAATTGTGACAGCTTCAATGCTGGTTTCCCCATTTCCAGGCTCAACCTTTGGGACTTGAACCATTGGTGTGACTACTTGCATTGTACCGTCACTTTGAATATTGGCAACCATAGTTTGATACATACTAGCAGATACTGGTACTGTTATTACTCCTGAGACGGATACAGGATAGCCTGAAACAAAGAAGCAACTGTCCTGTGTTCTGCCCCTGACCAGGCACTTCTCTGTATAGTAAACTGGGAATTAAAAAGTAAAACTTAGTAATTCGAAAAGCACGTATCCGTATGTGTATCTTTTATCATTAACGCAATGCATCATTATCTTAAGAATCAAATTTTATAATGTTTTTCTTCGGATTTGTGCATTCATACTACCAGTTTACAATACAGTTAAATTTAACAGACTATACGAATTTTCTAGAACTTAAATGATAAATTAAAAATATATTGTACCATATAAAACTAATGAAAAGTTTCTTAATTAACAGGGTGTGCTAAAGAAAAGTAGATATACTTACTATGTATTAAGCATTTAATTTAATTTTGAGAAATATATACTTTGCTTCCACATTCAGAGTTATCTTTTTTTTTGGCACACCCTTTTAACGTAATATCATTAATGTGCAAATGTAATTCTCATCTACGCTTCAGAAAAAATAAGGCATTAATGAAGAGCAACAGATGTTTAAGCCATTCTATAAAATCAAGTTGGACGAGCGGAAATTATACAAATACGGATTTTTTTTATTCAAAATAATTTATTGGTTTAAATAAATTAGAAAATAGCAATCGTGAGTAGCTTAAACAAAGGCTGCTAAATACAACGACTATAAAATAATAAAAACATCAACAAAAAATACTCTATGTACAGCAGTTTTATTTCTCTTTGTTTTAATTAAAGTAAATAACCAATCTTCGGTAATAATGGTAAGTAGTGATTGTAAAACAGGGACAGGTTCTTTTTGTGATCATGAAATACCTTCCTTTATTTTCTCGTTAAATTTAAAAATCTTAAGAATCCATGTGAATCGATTGATTCTATCTGTTTACGTTATAACGTATACATTTCAAAATGTTAAAAAATTCGATTTTTTTTTCTCAGAGGAGTACAAACTATACATGCAACATTTTGATATATATAAATGTATTGTGGTTTTCAATAAATCTTTCAATATATAAAAAGTAGTATGTACATGCATATACATAAGATTTTAATTCTATTACTTATTCATCATCAATCTCCCCTTTTATACATATATATATATAAAAAAAAGAAAAAAAAAAACTTGAGTCTTATCATCTCACAGAGAGAATAGTCTAATGTAAACATATACAAAACAACACAATATTAAGAGCAACTTTTGTATTCTATGGAGATCTTTTCTTATCACGCGACATTTGAGCGTAAATTAATTTTTAAAAATCAATACATCATGTGAGTTTTGAACAGCTCCTCTGATAATCACTTACATTTATCATGGATTCTTAAAGAAAAAATTAAAATAAAGCTGTGCATAGCTCCGAGTGAAATTGCGTATGTACAGTACCAAAAAAGAATAACTAATCGATATTCTACTTTCGTTGTACAAAATAGTAGAACACGTAGGTATTTTTCTTGAATGGAGCGTAGCAGACAGCATGCAAAACAACAAAGGATCCTGGGCCAGTAAAAATGAATTCACTGTTCAAGTAGCTCCTGGCCGGCGACGGTGCAGAGCCTATAGAAAACTGTTTTACCGTGTCCATCTTCTCCTGTGAGAATGATTTGACCATCTTGACCTAATGTCGCTTCTGTAACACTGTTTAGGTCGACAGCGACGCTAGTACCTTCCGCGCTGCCTGCTACTTCAGCGAGTGCTTGAACTTCCCCTTGACTTGTATGGATCTGTAGATAAATAAATTTATCTCAATTATAAAATTTTTTTTTGGAACTAAAAAATAAAGATCTTAAAAAATAATCTATAAGAACTTACAGTAGCAACACCTTGAACCTGGGCCGTTGTACCATCTGGTAACGTAATTATTGGATTGCTAGGGTCAACTTGGATAATTGATACGGTGCCATCAGGATTTGTTATTGTTTGTAAAACTGCCGTTGGATACTGAGCCGTCATCTAAAAAGCAAAGAAAAAATAATGTTTATGAACCACGAGTTTTCTAAATACTTTAAAAAGTAAAATGTAATACAACAGAATAATGATGGAAATTTTATATATAATATAACAAAATAAAATATTTCTTAAACTATGATAACGACTATAAAAATAAAGATATATTAAACTCAAATAAGGGAAACCAAACGCATGAACATAAATGCAAGTCACGTGTAAAGGAATTTCAAATTCTAATTTTCTTCTATATAAAATCAGAATTTAAAGAAACATCATGACCTTACAATACGCAATTGAAATTTGCATCAAATTTGGTATTTGAAATTGTACTGAATAATTCAACTATTCCGATCACATTGTTTCGATCAATTCTTTTTTTGTACTCTATCCACTCCCACCTGAGTGGCAGTGGCAAGAGCTGTAGGAGACGCGGCAATGATTTGTGCTGGCGAAGAGTTTCCCTTAGATGAATCCGTGCTGCTCAGGCGAACAACCCCCACCGTCTGTTGTTGCTGTTGAGATTGTCCACCTTGCCCTTGACTGGATGAATGCGACGGATGCGATGAGGAATGAGGTGTTGATTGTTGTATCAATACATTTGATTTATCATCTTCTTCACTGAATGCAGGTAGAAGATCTTCTCTTCCATGAAATTTATAACAGTTTATTACAATTTGTCTTAAAGCATGTGTCCAAGAAATCTAAAAAAAAAAAAAATATATGTATACATATCTATATTAAAACAAACATTAAATAGTTTAGAAGATTTTGATTTGACAAAACAGTAAAAAAATACTTGGAAATTTTTTTAATATTTACAAACCTTTTGTTTCTCATCTTCAGACCTTGCATCCATACGCACATTTGCCCAAGGGAGTTCTTTCGGCCACCACGGTGGTCGTGTACTGTCTCTTCCCCAACCGGGTTTACCCCTGCCTGTAGAATACTTTAACATTAACGGGATAAATGCTCTAAGTTGAGCTTGTGTCATTTTTTCCACGGGTGTTGGTATGCCATCTATTATAAGAGGTGGTAATTCATATAAAGATGGGTCATCTTGCACTGGAGGCGGAGCTTGTTGTGCAAGTGCACTTTCAAGTTCTTCCATTATAACATTTCTTAAATTTTTTACTACATCTTCTAACGGTTTTGCTCCAAATACTTTATAACTACTGTTTGGCTTTCCTGGAGTAGCTACTAATACTACTGCTTGTTGTCCAACTCGTGTTGCAAACTCATCTATGGTTTGCTGCAATAATATAAATATGTAAAGTATACAAATTACAATATAAAACAATAAAATAATTTTTAATATCATAATGCACAATTACCCTGAGTTTTCTTAGGAGTCTGTTTTGTTGCCTTTTTCTAATGCTGGGATTTGTTTCAAAACTATGAGGTCGTTTCCTCTTTTTCGCTGAGACAATGGCAGCGGCTGCGGCTACGCCAACAGGGCCTAAATGTGTAAATTATTAAACATATGTTTTCCCATTTTACGATCCCACACCAAATAATATGTCAGAAAAATATTTATAGTATTATAGAACATTGAACAAGGAATATTAAAATTTCAATTTCTGTAATGTTTATTTTAAAAATATCTTGATTAATGTATTCAAAGCTTTTTTTTAAATTATATTTATGCATATTCATTTTTTGTATATATATTTTACTGACAAATTAACATAAACATCTTTAGTTCATTCAAAACATAAGAGATGCAAAAGCAGTAGTGATATGAAACGTGCTTGATATTCAAGAATATATTATATATATACACACACACACACACAAAAATCAAATTAAATATCTATATATACTCTCTCCCTCTCCCTTCCCACCCCTGTCTCTCTCTCAAGAACTGTTTTGTATACACGAAATAAAATTTATTTGTTTAAGATTTATATAAATAATATACTCTTGAATTTTTGATAAGGTGAAAATGAACATCTACAAAATTACATTATTCTATAACATTTAAGTAATAAACATAAAATAAATTTATTGCACAAAAGATAAACACAAATTTGGATGATAAATATTTAACTAATATTAAAGCTATGATGTTTTAACAGACACACAAGAAGGATGATACATGAATAATCCTGAATATGCAAATGAAAATTACACATAAAATGCAAAACTAAAATATACATATAAAGACAGTGTTTCCATGTTTATAAAATATTGAAAACATGAAGCAAATAATATTACAGCACACAAACAATGTAAAATGCATTCAATAATATTGCTTTTTCATTAATAGCTTTTAATTTGAATTATTTAAGAAAATAAAAATAGAATAATAATAACAGTAATAATATTAATAATAATAATAATAATAATAATAATATTAATAATAATAATAAAAAGAAAAATAAACTCATGCTGCACTGACAATGATGTAAATGCAAAAATAAAACACTTGTCTGTTTGCTTTTAAATTATCTAACAGAAATATGAATAACTAAAACTTTTAATTATATTAGGACTCCTAAGAATCTTTTTGTATGTATTTGGATTTAATGTTTAATAGTTACCAGATTAAATGTATCATTGGCAGGCAGTATTTCCTTCTATTTTTCTATTGATAATAAATCATGGTAATTTCAATTCTATGCATTTATTTATTTTTCTAATAATAATTTGATGCAATTGCAAAATATAATAATTTCATTATTTATGTTTAAAAAAATTAAAAAATATTGAATTATGATATGTAAATTAGTGTATATAATAATCAGAATCATGTATGTATCATTGAAATCATTAATTACAAGCTGCATTACAACAACAATATAAAAAATTTAATGTTTGAAGTCCTTTATTTATTTTTTTCTAGTACTTATCCATGGGAATCAATCATTTAACATTATTGGTGCACCCTGTATGTTACTTTCCTTTTGTAAATGAAAATGATTAGAACATAAATAACTCAAAAGGTGAAAAAGCAAAAAAATGGAAATCACCATTAGCGTGTTTGATTTGCCAACCTGCAGCGGCGAGCTGGGCCGTCACGTCATCATCCATGGCAGCTGTCAAGAGGTCCCCCTCCTCGTATGTTTCAGACCCACTACTTGGCTCGTCATCATCATCATCTGAGATTCTGTCCATTGTTCCAGACTCTGCACTAGGCAGAGACACCATCTTCTTATCTTCGTCACCCGTCTTGTCTTCAGTTATATTACAATGCCCCGTCGAAACAGATGCCAATCTTTGAATTTAGGTTTTCCTTCTACATCACCTTCTCCTATATTGATAAATACAAGTTTGCATCAGAAATAGAAAGTATAAAACAATAAACTTTTTTTTATAACAAACATGTTAATATATATATTAACTAGATTTATAAAACAAAGTTGTTTTAAATAATGGTTATAAATATATTTTCTATTAAAAAAGTATTTTAAATTTGTATCAAGAAATTATTTAATTATATACATAAAATTGTTCTATACATAAAAAGAAGTATAATATTCAAATAAAGGTATTTATCAAGATATACTTAGTACATATACTCATAAAATGAAATATAATGTTACAAATAAATCTAGAATTAATAACAGAAAATAAGATTGATCAAGTTTTAAATAATGTATATATTAAGATATGTATTTCAAAAACAATTAAAATAAATAATGACACTATATAAACTATTAATTGATAACACAAGAATAGAAAAAAAACATAAATACATGATTCTATTATATATGTATATATATAAACAATAGTAATCTACAAGGTATAATAATGTCATTATATGCATAAACGCTAAAACTCGTGTAATCTTATTCATGTGGAAAATTATAGCAATGAAACATACTGCATGATAAGGATAAAGTAGAGTAGATAAGAATCCAGGATGATGATATTACATATGGGCTGAATTTTAAAAACATAAACAATGAATTTCAGGCGGAAGCTTTTCCCGCGCGTTCGTTTGGGATCCCCACGCATGATGAAACACAAGATATTCGCGACAGGGAAAACAACTTCGTAAAAACGAAGAGCGCTGAAACACGTAACGTGATCGTCGTCGTCGTCGCCGCGGTCTGTGTATAGATGTGGGATATTCGTGAAGCATGAACGAAGCGTAATGAACTGGTGTTAAACTCGGCATGACAGCGAATAAGAGATATTCGAGAGATGAATTTGACAGGCAACAAACGACAAGCGACAGGCGACAGACGACAAACGACAAACGACAGACGGCTAGTTAAGAAGACTGGTAAGAGCGAGGCTTGGCAAAGCGTGACGAGATGTGAGAACAGAGAGAGAAGATGCGCCAAGCCGCGCACACGGCGCGTTTATTTGGTGATACTTGGGGGGGCAATGAAAATGCGCAGGGCACACGCAAAAGAGACCACCTCCGGGGCCGCAAAGCTCATGACCGCGGTACCGCGAAGCCATGGAGCAGGCCCAGTGAAAATCGCGAGTTGCGTACGCACCTTGTGTGTCCCGTGAGTGGTCACCCGATCAGGGAGGGCTCAGGGTTTCGCGTCTGCGGGGAGGCCGCCGTCGGCTACGCTCTCTCACCACGCCCTACGCTCGCGTCTCGCGGTCATCTCGCCACCCGTGTCAAACGCTCACCCGCACAGCACCACCACCGTGAGGCTAGCACGCGACCTTCTATCTCACCGCCCGTAACTCGCGTGTACGTCGCGCCACGCCACAACACGCACAACAGCCGCCATAGACACCATGGCCAGTTTCGCCAGCAGGCGTATCGATCGGCTACGCGGCTCTCCATCTCCACCACAACAAACGCGGCAGCGAGGCGGCCATTTTGAGCGAGCCTGCGCGGTGCACTCCAAGCAGACGATGCGAAATTGCCCTTATTTCGCGAATGCGCAACATCCGCGCATCGCCCGGGCCCTCAACGATCACTTACGTGCTAATAACGCACCGATACTTCTTCGGCACTCACCGATTTCCCGTGAGAATCCGCAAAAAGGTACCAGCGACCACCGAAACACGAACACCATATACATGTATACAGGTCTGGAATAACGTGATTGGCTAGTACTACTGGGGTACGCGTTATGGCGTCTATCCGACGTACATTCTTATTGGACCCTGAAACACGTGACTCTTGTTCTCAGCGTCCCTGGAACGATGTTGCTGAGTTTTAGTCTAACCTAAACTTGTACACCTGAAATGGCGAGAAACGTTTCCTTCTGCATGTTATTGTAATATTTCTTATTTAAACAGTACTCTGTGGGTATGCAATTCTTTTTTTATTATATTATTTGTCTAATAATATCTGATATTTTTACTGTTTATTTTTCTATGATGAAAAGGTTTTGTAAATAACTATTGATATTTAAGCTTTGTGCTTCAAGTATGAAGATAATTTAAAGTGACATGCAATCTCACGTAATTAATATAAAAGAATTACAAGAAAGAAAATATATTTTATTTTTCCTTTTTTTTTTACAGTCATTACAATAAATCTAACAATATAAAAGTATATTATTTAAAAATAATATTTAATAGTATAAAATGTCGTAAAGCAGCTTTACATATCACATCTGGGGTGGGGTAAATTACTAACTATACATGTTAGTTTAGTGGTATTAACCAATTGGATTTCAAAATGCTATTATTTAATGTATAAAATAATACTTTGTAAAATTAATAATTCATAATTTTTTTGAGTATTTAATGTTATCTTAAGTATAAAAGTCAATAAACTAAATGCGAGGTTTAAAGTAAAAAATGCCCTAAACTTATGAGTGAACACAATCAAATAAAATTCAAAGTTTTAAGACATTTTATAAATGCATATTGGATAATGAAGTCTTATTGCATTAATCCAATTGGTTATAGGCGTAATACCACCATTGGAAAGTATATTTTTACTTTCAAGCCCATGGCTTGTTTTTATTACACAACTTTCCGAACCAACCAGGCTCACAAAGACATGTATTATCAGGTTGACATATTCCATTTCTGCATGCTCTTGTACAAGCTGAACGTTGTGGAGATCGTCTACCAATTTCACAATGATCTCCTTTGAAACCAGTAGGACATCTACACACATTATTTCCTTTACATTTTCCTCCATTTAAACAGGGTATTACACACTTTGCTATAAGACAATACATTCATTAGAAAAAGCAGTACTTAAATTTGAACTGTATTGTGAATTTTTATTACTTACAGAATTCACAATGTAATCCAAAGTAACCTTTTGGACATTCACAAGTATCTTTCTGTACACACTTTCCGCCATTTAAACATTTTTCTGCACATATACCTAAAATTAATTATGAATTGATTTAAAAATGAGGAAACTTATATTAAAAATATTTTCTTAAAGTTTATAGAAAAAATGCTTGTAAAAAGTCTGAAGCAGCTTGGAACTCGATTGATTAGCACATCAGCTGCTTCAGGATCAACTAGATCAGGGAAATTATTAGATTCAGTTATAAGAGTAGATCATGCTGGAGAATTAGGAGCTGATAGAATATATGCTGGACAAATGGCAATCTTAGGTATAAATATATTATAAACATCTTAAAATGTTTTTGCTTCTCTACAAATAGATATAAATTTAATGTAGGGTATACAAAACAGGTAATACTTCTGTTGGTCCAACTATTCAACATATGTGGGAACAAGAGAAAAGACATCGTGCAAAGTTTGAAGAGTTAATTAGAAAATATCGTGTAAGACCCACTGTCCTAACACCTGTTTGGAATGTTGCTGGGTTTGTTCTTGGTGCTGGCACAGCACTTATGGGAGAAAAAGCAGCTATGGCTTGCACTGTAGCTGTTGAGACAGTGATTACAGACCATTACAATGATCAATTACGTGCATTGATGGAAAGTGATGAAAAAATACATGAAGAGATTCTTGAAACCATTAAACAATTTCGTGATGAAGAACAAGAACATCATGATATAGGTATAGAACATGGTGCAAAACAAGCACTGTTCTACCAAACTTTAACAAATATTATCAAATTTGGCTGTAAGACTGCTATATCAATATCCAAAGTTGTATAATTTATTAGTACAGTGTGACAATTTAACATTAAAATATTTCTTTACAAATATTAACTCAATTTTAATGAAATAAAGTAGTGTTTGTGAGAAAGATATATATTATTCTGATTTTAAAGTACCTCCTTCACAGTATGGTCCTTGAAATCCTGGTGGACATGAACAAATACCAGGAGCTGTACAGTTACCACCATTCATACAATTTGGATAACACAATGCTTTTTTACAATGAGGTGGACCTAAATATCCATCTGGACAAGGTCCAGGATTAGGTTCTGCAATAAAAAAAATATTACATATAGAAAATAATAATATTATATATATGAATTTTAATAAAATAAGTGTGGTCTTAAATATATTTTTTAATGTATTAAGCAGATATGATATGCATAAATTCTATTTTACTGTTCATTTCTATATTAGAAAAAATCACTGTCTATCGTAAAGAAACATAAGTATCGAACGATTATGTTTCGTTACGCCCACACAAATTTAAGAAGATAAGCATCATTGCCTGTTGACCATCGCCTAAGGAATGTTTCAGTCACTTAAAATAGCTTTTATTAATAGAAATTTTAGGATATTTTTGAGTTAGAACAAAGTCATGCATTTATTCTGACGGAAAAGTTAATTAATTAACTAATCAATTACGAATCTACGGGATAAAAGCGTACGTGCGGAAAATCCATTTCTATACAGTTAAAAAGATACACAATCAAGGCTTTACACAAAAACATTTTCTGTTAAGTTGAATGTATAAAAGTATACTTTGTGTTAATTAAATAGGGTAGTAATCAAAATCATAATTAATCCTCTCCACTTCTATAATTACTCCCATGAACACAAATTCTTGCTTTTATTGTTATATGTTTTGTTTCCGTCATTTTCTTCTTTGCAAAAAGAAATTTTTATGGTGACGAAGTAATTTTGATTTTGATAGCTCCAAATTGAAAGGTATAGCAAATTTAGTAATGAATTATTGCTAATACAGATTGTGTGTGAATGAGATGGTGATCGTAGGCACGAATGATGCACTCACCGCGCACGGTGCATTCTTTTCTCAGGTTAAGACGAAGAGGTGTTCCGTTTAAAGGTTTCCCCTTACGTGTTTCAATCATCAGACCGATACCCAATTGGGCAATGCCCGAATTATTACCGGAACAGGGTAATAGAACGCTGAATTCTGTGACAATGAACGTTATGTATTTATGTATGTAAATTTATTAATTTTTTGTTAATTAATTAAATTTATCGATTAATTAAATTTCGTTGAGAAATAAAAAATATGAATTACCCTTAGGTCTTTTAGGTACTCTTCCTTGTGTTTTAATAGTGATATATGGAGTTTTTAAGATCGTTTCGTCAAATGATTTTAATCGATAAAAATTATAGTAATATTTCTTTACACCGGATTTCCATGTAAAATTCACGTATGTTACTTCACTTGGAATAATTGGAAGTTTACTTTCAAATTCTGGATCCAATAGATAAGGCAAGACTCTACCCTCCGTAATCGCGAATATTTCCATTTCGACACCTACATAAAACAGAAAAAAAAGAGATCGATTGTAGTTCTGTTTCACCTTTTCATTGATACAAATTTTATAATCGATATATATAAAAATAATTTATATAAATTATTGTTTTATTATTACCAAGTTACTTCTACAAAATGAATTAATCCACTACACTTATCGAAGTATAACGAGTTGCACATATGGATAGTGAATTCTCACTTTGTAATGAAAAAAGTAAAGCAATGTATAAAAAGTTAGACGAAATTGTTTAAAACATAAGACACAAAGTAATGCAAACTAAGAGAATAATTAATAGAGAAAATTAATGACTTCGTTCGTCTAATACCAAATTGACTTCAACGTTTTGTTTTTATTTAAAATCAATAAAAAGGTTATAAAACTGTTACAAAAATCAAATAACTAAGTATAAAAGAAAAAAACGCACCGTTGAAGACGGGTAGGTTTTCGTAATGCGGTAGTCATATATAGAGCTACTTACCGCTGAACATTTTGATCTGTTGCTGGTCGATCCAGAGGGAGATGTCACCGGTTGGTTTGTGTCCATTGCCGGAGCGATGGTGATGTCTCGCGGCCGCCGTGTCCTGGAGCAGAACGATCGCCACCGAGGCCAGGGCGGCTGCGGCCCACTGCATAATTAACGACGTGCCGCCAGGTGTTGCACGGTTTATGACTAGCCCCCCTTGTGGCTGTGTAAATCTGTCTCTCTCTGCGGTTCGGTTCCACTTCTTCGTGTGCGTGCCACTCGTGTCTCGGTGTGTGCAAGCCGACGGAACACGCCACGATTCGACGCGTGAAATTCGGGATTTCACGGCGAGACTCGAGATGAACGAGCACGTTCTCACGCACGCAATCAAACGAGCTGACACAACCGGAGACCCGTATGCGGAGCTTCAGTGGGGATCAACTCTCGCGATCGAGAGAAGAACCGACCGGTTGACCGACGACCAATTTCGCCGATGCTTCGCGTTACTTTCTGGCTCTGTCGATAATGTAGCTGTACGATCACGCAACGTTAAGTCAACAAGACGCGCATACACACGTGCGTATGGGCCGCGTCGCTGCGGCAAACTGACTGACTGACTGACTGACTCAATGAGAAAAGGCCTACAGCAGCCCGTCTTCTTGCCGTGAGACCGCGAGCAAGATCTCTATCTTTTAAGGGGTCCCAATACGTTCGGGGATAAGGGTGCATGCACAACAATTCGCGAGGTCGATATTAACTGTTCGATTCGAAAAACGATTAACGATGGTTTATGATCTATTTTATATTTTTTTTTCTTAATTTCTCTTTTCACCTTACTAATATTCTTCAAATCATAACCTTTAAATCTTAAAATATAGCATCAAAATGAGAGAATTATTCATATAAAGTATTTTGATAATGTAAATTTAATTATATTTAAGAAAGAAAGTTGTACAATAAATAAGGAGCATGAATTTAAATATATATTAACTCGATTAGATCATTTGATCGTGATTGCGAGTAATCAATTCTACGAATGTGTAATTGCATATTAGTAATTTGATAGGTAGATTATCGCCATGAATAAAATCTATCGATTATTAAAAGTAAAAGGAATTGGTTCAAATTATTTATAATTACTTATATAACAATTATGTTATTATGAATTTGTGTACCTGGTAAGTCTGTAAATGATTTTATTAAAATTAAATCCGTTTTCTCAAGAGATAAACATCTGGTAAATCAGAGACAGCGCTGTCGACATATTTTATGGTCTACTAACCGATACTGATCTCTTTGGGACTTGAATATCGTATACGCGGATTTATGGAAATCAGAATTCAGATTAGCAAATAAGGTGAAAAGAAATGGGTAGAAGGAACCAGTTTTTAAACGTCTTTGGTCGGGTTCCTCCTCTTCGTTTCTTCTTCCATTCTCTTTCGTACTTCGTCTTCTATTCTCCTCTTTGTCCCTCCCCCGTCTGTCTTTGCATTCGGCAAAGAGAATTCACTGTTGCAGTTTGGACTTTGTTCCCAAGCTCGACACTGGATCTGCCATTGACTTATCATTATCTTTCAGCCCATTTTAAATCTCTCAAGTAACCCGCGAGGTGTCAGAAACCCATCGAATATGAATAATTGAGAACGAATCATCTAGACCGGATTGCTGGTCACGAATAATAGTATGACAAGGGTGGAAAAGCAACTGTTAAATTTTAATAGCATATTAAAATACTTTGAATTAACAAATTAGTTATACTAGTATAAATGTATCGTGTATTTTAGTATTTTATTTTTATTTTTTCGTATAATATTTATTACATAACAATTTTTAAATATATTTTGAAAGGACAGTAAATTTTAAGATGGTATTTCATCGTTCTCTTGGTCGAGCTCTTCTTAGTTAGTACGGTATTCTTCTCGTCGAATGTTCGACCACATTTCCATGGTCGTTTTGCAATCCGTTACAAAGGCCGGCTTGTTAGGTACCGTGGTATATACGACATGCACGATTTTACACTCTGGCGCTTGTGGTCGGTCAAGCCGCAAACATTTTTCGCGCCTCACAGAGACGAACAACTCTTCGCGACGCGATTGATCTTCCGAGGAACATACCAGATCGTCGGAAACTTTCTACAAACAGGTGCAGGTGACGAAAGGTACATACGACGCTATATACAATACCTTTTTTATGTAAAGTAATTTTTAAAGATTTTTTTCTCGTAAGGAATTAATGTGTTTGGTAATGACTATTATCACCATACATTGTGTGGAAACATGAGAGACATCTGTAGCGTGTCCATAACCTAGTTTTCATGAACGTATGCGATCACTTATTGGATTTTTGAAGTTGATTATTTCAAGGAAAGGAGATTTCTATATGTATCCTTATACACGGTATCCCTCTTTTTACTATTAAACTTCCAACTATGAAACACATCGGATAAAATATAAAGCTTTTATTTTAAGTAATTTTAAGTAATAAGTAGTATATTTACATACATTCTAGCACTTAACATTTTTGCATTTCTATCTAATTAGTAGTAATGATTGACAGATATCTTCGAAATTATGGATTCTCGTTGGCTACAATGGATTCTTTGAAGGAAACAATTTATCTTTGTCAAATAACGAACAACATCCAGGTTTATTTGCGATTTCATGACTATTCACGAAATTAAAGTAAACGATCCTCTATATATCGTAGAAATCAACGCAAAAGTAGAAAACAAGCGTATAATAATGAAATCCTTGGCGATTGCATTACTATTTCTGACCACGGGCTTCGAATGAAAGCCCGACCGATGAATAATACATGATATGCGATAGACGCATCGCCGTGGACCGAGCTTGTGAGTGGTGAACTGTCTTCGGTGGGATCTCCGGCTCTTGGGAAAGGAGCTATATTTAATTTAGTACTCCAACCATAACACGTTGAATATAACAACCTACCAACTATTGTTACTCCTGTATGTACTAATTATAATTGTAGCAATCTTTATATTATTCGTACAAATCTATAGTTTTATGTTCAAATGTAATTAATTTCAAGAGACGTGGACTCAACTAATCATTTTTTTCCATTAATAAATCCATGACATTTTTACTAACATATGTGCAGAGTTTCAAAAACTCTAAGGAAATATCCTCATTTTTAAAAATCAATTTCTGAAGGAGGTTCAGGGTTGTTCTGGATTCATCGAGTAACAGGTTTAACAGAACACTCAATGAATAGTTGATAATAGTGTCCATTGTAGGCTGTGTCCGAGGGTTGGGCCATCTAACAAATGGCCCATTGTTATCTCTTACGGCTCTTCGGTTTTCTTCTTGCTCCTTCTCTTCTTCGCCCTTTTTTTTCTTCCATCCTTCTTTCACTGTGCACGAAACGAACGTGCATACAGGGTAATTCAGAAAAGAGAAACGATCTTCCCGTGCGCAGAGCTATTATTACTCTGTTTGGTCGATTGAAAGATATACAAAGTTCAGTAACAGCTCACCACGCGAATTCTTGGTATTTTTTTTTTTTTAAAAAGTGCCCCTTGAATCTCTTTTATTTTATATTTAAACAACAATAAAATTACGTAATGACGTCTATATGTATATATATACATATATATAACATTTTTTGCAGGTCCAAATTAAGGTGGTTTTGCGCCGTGTTTACACATCAAATGACGAGCAGAAAAAAATGAAAACAGAGATAATCAATTTCATGGGTATTGAAATCTCCATCGGGTAATCAATTTTTAGTGACTGAAATACATGTCGAGCGTTTAATAACCAGACGAAATTAAAGGATATTCAATAAACCGCAGCTCAGGAGAATCACGCGCTGTATATTACCGGCGGGACAAGAAGGAAAGGCGGTTTCGTCTGATACACAACGTACAATTGATCCGAACGTATATTATACACTGCTCACGAACGGGGAAGCAAGTCTTGAGGGCCGTCCCCGCGAGGAGCAACCGGTGCCGGTTTATTTCCGATCGAATGTTTTTGTCCAACCGTCGCAAACCTAATTGGATTCGCTACGAATCACCAACAGACGTACACGACAGAGCATTACGCAAAACCATGTATCGTCCCGAGCTTTTTAAATGTCGATTCGCTAATGGTTGATCTGTTTCGATCGGTATTAACGAAGGAGCTCGTTCGGTCGTGTCTGCAAAATCAAATCAGCTGTTAGCTATGGTATGATAATTGTAACGAACAAATTGCAATAAAAATTGTTACTTTTTTACATTATTTTGCAAGAATAATGAAAAGAGAATCTGCTTCGTGAAAAGAAAAATTCAAAGAAAGTAATTTAAGAAAGTACATTAGATGATTTTTTTTTTTTGTATGATTGTAATTCTTTATTATCGTAACAGGCGTTAAAATATTTTATTCTACGCTGATTGAGGTAACGTGATTTATGTATTTTCATTCCAGTATATCTACTTATCGCTGTAATTCTTACCTTGCATGTGCAACTTGTATATACTATCTTTCTCTCTCGTATGCATCGACCTTACCTCTTCTTCTCCTGCAGGACATAAACGCACACGACCTCGGCTCCTACATGAACATATAGCTCCTCCAGCAGGCAGCCAGGCGCTGCGTCGATGCATGTATCTGACGGCAGCGGCCCGATTGTGCTGTTTCTCCGCCGTCGGCCCGCCTTCCCATTTCATCCTTTTCCATCACTCTTTTGACACTGGACAAGTAACAATGATAGAGATATATCCACAAAGTGAGGGGATATCGAAATATGGGATTAGCGACCAGGAAAAGGAACCGATGGAAATGGGAAAACTTTGACAGAAAAAGAAAGGAAAGAGTAAGAGAGTTGGATAAAAGGAAAAGATAGATCAGAGATCAAGGTACGTAGGAAAGAGATGGAAAAAGGAAATGTTGGTAAAGAAGGGGATGAAAGAGAAAGAGAAGCACAGGTAAAAAAAAGAAAGAGAGAGCGACTCTCTCGAGATCAAGTTAGAGTACCGGCACAAAAAACCTGTCCCGCATAATTACATTATCGGTCACATCTCGTTCGACTTCTGTCCGCACAGCCCTTGCTTGAGCGCCCGAATGCATTCTTATACAATACAAGCCACCATTGCCTCGAGGACAGTGCAACAAGGTCTCCGGCAAAACCGCAGGGGGTCCCAGTCATTGCTTATTCCACCTTTTTCCGACCTGTAGTAGAAAGCATTCAATATCCTGTCAAATAAAATAGAAAGCATGGAACGTTTTCTATCTCGTCATATTTCTGCTATCAAAAGTTACAAGTTTAATTGGTAAGAGATGATAAAAGCACGATAGAAAGAATAATCAGTAATCCTAAATTTACGTTTTTTGGTTGTTTAAAGATTTTGATTTGTTTATTTATTATTTGTAATTTATTCTTCTTTTTATTGACATGGGAGATGTTACACAGGCATTGGAATGCGCGTTATTCTAGTCGCTGATAAACGGTTGAACACAAGGCGAAATCGCTTTGAAATTTTACATAACATTTTTAACATAATGTAATACATACTCTCAATCTCTGTTGCACTACGGGGAGATGAAAGAACTTTTAACCAGATTGCTAAACTCTGTAAACTTTACTCCGTAGAAAAAATATTGAAACGATGGCACCGCCAGAAATACGTATAATAATGTGTCTTTTATGATGACATGCACTTTTATACGTTTTTCCATCGGAAAACACATTGGTATCTTAATAGTAATAAGGTAATATACAAGCAAAAGTTAGCACGATAGACGCACACATGTATAAATGAGCGTATCTGTTATGTTTTGTTATTTTTGTTAATACATTTAAATGTATAACATGTGCTGTCTTGTCGTTGTAAAATGAACACTGTTTTGTAGAAAGTTTATATATACTTGTTTTTTAATATAAATCTGTGTTCACTACGCTAACACGGTGTCATTCTTTCGGCGGTATAAATAAAATTGTTAATTATAAAAAAAAATCAGATCCAACTCACGAATGTTTCATGCTAAACACTTAAGTTTCTATCGTGGATACAAAAAATCTCTCTATGTATATAACAAGTGAAATAAAGAAAAAGTATCAAAATATATTAAAAGTATCAAAACACCAGTAACTCGTACGAAAGTATTGGAAGTTCACATAAGTTACTATGTGTTTCAACCAACCAGAGATTCAAACCTTAATGAACATGATTTAGACATACTTCGAAAATATACAGAAGATAGTACAATTAGAAAAATACATTGAAACGTAATTGTATACGCCTATATTTTGACTTGGACGTCGGATGCTTATCCTGGCAAATATATAATTTAATATAAGTTTATGATTAATGACGTTTTAATATATTACATACATGTCTCCGCGTTTTTTAAATATATTTTAGTATCTTTACAATAAATTATTGTTTTCTTTCATTTACAATACATTCTTTTTGTAGGCGCCTATATATGTACGTATATATTTATATATATAGAGTTCGTAAAAATTACGTGACGTCCAAGTCATTTGTACAGGATAATCGGCAAAAAAGACCTTGATCAAAATTGAAAATTTATGAATTTTTTTATCAAATAAAATTTGAAATGGTTTTTGTTAAAAATGGTACTCATTAAAATTTTAGAAGTCAACTTGGAAGAATAATTGCATTTCAATTTGATTTTTTTTTTTGTAGATTGAGAGGTGTATATCCTTTTGACAGATCATATAGATTTTTACGAACTTTACGCGCACATGTATTGTAAGTATTCTATATTTTGTACCTTTTTTATTTTTGTACCTGATATATTTGCTCACGACACTTTTGCAGACAACCTGTACATTGCATTGAATATGTTAATTTAATACAGTAAATAAAAAACACTAAATTTATTCTTGGAGAAATTAACGAACTCCCTATAATTTTTATAATAACATTTCATACACTAAAACGTAATAATAGCTGCTCTCATGTGATCGCATTCTTTTAACTCTAAGTTTAATTAATAATCAATATACGTCTCTATATATTCAATAATTTTTTTTATATATTAAATTATATCCTATATTGATTGAATTATAATAAAATTATCAAAAGTAAAATAAACATTAATAAGAATAAAAAGGACTTTCGTTCTCAGCTAAAGCACGTTTCACATACAAAGAGCAACAATTAGAGGCCATGTGACATTTTTTTTAAACTACTATAGTGCATGTACAATGTTTTTTTTTTAATATTCTAGCAATAATAATAATAATGATGACGACGGCGACGACAAGATGATGATGATGATGATGATGATTATGATTATGATGATTATGATGATAACGATGATGATGACAATAATATAATAATATAATAATAATAATAATAATAATAATAATAATAATAGTAATATCTTTCATATATTTTTGTTTGCGTATTATTAATGAAAGTGCACGTGCACAATATTTGTAGATAGTCACTGATTCATTATATTTGGCCCTCTGTCGGCAGAGTAAAAATTGATTGCATCTAAAGGACCTTAGAACAATTTTTTCATTCTTTAATTAAAATTAGTTTCAGTCCAGGCCAGATTGCAACACTATACTCGATGTCAGTCCTTTCGTTTTCAAGATTGCATATAAGTAACACCAGCCTGTGTCGCGTATTAACTAATTTTTGGGTAATACGAATTATTGATACTGATTATCTTCATTTGAAAGACGTGAACCCTATATGCAGCCTTAAAAGTGCTTTAAATTTCTTTTTTGTGTCATACATACTTAGAACAATATAAACATAACTCGTATACCCTGTGATGATCTGAAGTGTTAATTTTCAATCTGGCCATGTCAAATATTACGGTCGATGCTAGAATACTTTCTACTATATTATGTCCATAAATAGCTTGCACGCTATGAGACACCTATCGTCTTTGGGTTTTATAATTAGTCAAAGATCTTCAACAAATCCATTAATTGTAAATAATTTACAATCGACTAACAAATTGTATTTTATAATCACCACAATTACATAGATAAAATAATTATCGTAGATCAACCTTCCCAAAAATACTAAGGATTGCTAAAATACTCGAATAACACATATGTATACATATGTTAAATATTCAAAAAGAATTATTTTTTAAATGACACAAATGTACAAACACTGTGCATGACTTGTATAGTCTTTACTTGGCTTGACATAGAAACATTTACTTATCTTTCTATTTGAACTATAAAACCCAAAACCAAAGTCTAATTGGCAGTATAGTGTTGGACGTTGCGCCCAGCGCAAGGTGCATAGCAGAGCTGCTGCGGCTGGTAAGGATTGAAAACCTTACCCTTGACAAAGAAAAAAAACAATTTTTATGCGGCTTGAATAAGATAATACCAGAGGTTACACATATGTAGCCATAGTGCCGCTTGGAATGGGCGGTGTTTCTTCCGGTCTACCTTTGGGCCCATATTGTCCAATGAAAGAGCCATCTTCTGTGAAACGACCTTCAACAGAATAACAATCGCAATTTACAAATTTTCATTAGGAATCATCATTTGAAAAATATAAACTATTAATACTGTAATCTGCTTTATGAATACATTACTTAACCTACCTTAAACTAAAGTAGCAAATGCTTGTGAATTTGGTTCTTGTTTACGATGTCGACCATACTGACCAATGAATGATCCATCCTCGTTCATACCTTCTGTATTAAGTCAAGCAACGAACCAAAATAAAATCGTGGAACAAAAACGTAATATAAATTAAAGTGCTAAGGCAAGAAAATAAATAATATGTAAATAAATGTTTTACCGTACTTTGCATGTGTGTAAAATGGAAATAAAATATAAATATTTGTATTCATGCTCTCCTTTGTATTTATACGTGCGAGAATTTAAATGCATGCGTTATTAAACTTTAATACCAACTACTGTAATTACCTTGTTACTTCGTTGACTTAATCTAAATAAGTTGTTATTATCTTTTGAACTGACCTGTATCTCCTTCTCCATATTCTGCCATAGAATCAGTATCAGATTCAGGATGTTTTCCATCTTGGTGAGAAGAAGATGCCAAAGACGCGCGACCACCTGCTGATTTGGTGTCTAAAGGTTGAGAATATTCATGAAAACCGCCTTCATCTGGATAATCACCACGTCCAGCAGCTAACTCTCTCTCATGCACCGCGTACTTTCCACCTCTGTTACGTTTAATAACGCACACAATTATAAGTACCAAAAGGAGGAAGGCAATTGCTAACATCATTCCTATAAACCATCCAGCAGTAGCGACATTCTCTTTAGGCTGTATGATGGGACCTTCGCTGCTAGTTTCTACTTCCTGCGGTTCACTTTCCGTGAAACAGTTACCATCAACAGCGACGACAGACATCACATAAGTTTCGCCACTTTGAAGCCCACGAATTTCTATCGTATTCGAATAATATTCTGGTTCAGTTTCGAGAAAAATTGTTTCGCCCTTAAGTTTGTACTTCACGAAAAAGTGACTTCCTGGATTCCCGTTGAGATTCAACTGCCAGATAATTCTTACATTCGAATATCCATTTTCTTTTGGTATAGTTTCCCAAGTAAATAGAGGTATATCGGGACGTTGGGATGTGCGCGTTTTTTGTTCAATGAAGTAGCTAAGTAAACATGAAATAATGTATTAAGTATGACAAAAAAAAGCAAGGGAGGAGAAACAAATGATTTGAAATTAAGATAGTAAGTAACAATACATACTCATTTCCTTCACCAACTTTTGTTGTTGCTCGGATGTGTACACGATACTTCGTATCGGGTGATAACATTGCTAGTTTTGCACTGGTGGCTTCTGGGTCTCCAATAAATGGTTTTCTTTCCAGCAGAGGACCAAATCTGGTTCCATTTACGAGTTCATAATATATTCTGTAGCCAGTTAGAATACCATTTCGTTCCGCAGGTTTTGTCCATACTAAAAATAAAGCGCTAGAACCCATCGGGAACGCCTCGAGACTGAGGACTGTTCCTGGAATGCCTTCTGGTGTATCAAAACTTAAAATTTCAGAAGGTGGTCCAGCATATCTAATACAAAAATATTTTCGCTATACGTGAAGTAACATATAAAAACTTATAAATTGCTATTTTAATATTCATTACCGTCCATTGTATGCTAATATTCGAACGTAATTCTTGCTGAAAGGAACAAACTTGGTAACCAATGCATGGGTTCTATTACCACCCCTTATATCGATTTCTCGCATTCCCTTTTCACCATCTTTTTCTGTCCATGTTTGTATTTTATATCCTTGTAACTCACCCTGTACAGACTCCTCAGGAACTGGATTCCATGAGAATTGTGCGCTTGTACTTGATTTTACTTGATTTAATGTAAAATTGCTTGGTGCTTGCAGAGGTACTATAACATTATATGTTTTAAATAGCCTTAATTATACAAGAAATTTAAAATAGGATAAAGAAATAATACAATAAAATCAACAAACCATCTTCTCCAGAATATCCAGTTATCTCATCAGGTGCAACTTTACATTCTCCTCTTTCATTAATAGCTACCACTTTAATCTTATACTTCTGATAAGTTGGTTGATTGTCCACGACTAAACTATTTTTTTTCCAATCTGTTATATCTTCCATAGTCCATTTTTCTCCTGGTATATCACGTCTATAGTATACTCTGTACATAAATTTGGGTGCATTATGTTCGATTTGTGGCATTACTGTCCAAGATATAACGAGATTTTGTGGTGTTGTTCCTTTACCCATAACATTATCAGGATTTTTATAGGGAACATCTTGCAATGTGGTACATACGTCACTATGCGATGAGGGTAATGATGGACCTATTTTATTCCATGCTAACACACGAAATGTATAGTTAGCCCAAGGTGACATTGGAACAACATATGTTTGTTCAGTTGCTGGTACAGTATCTCTTGATATTTCCCATGTATCTGGTGTGAAAGTGGTATTATGTTGAATAGTATATCGCAAAATTGGGGCTCTATTATCACCCATCGGAGTCCAATGTATACTAGCTTCAGATGCCATACACTTTACACTAATTAATTTTGGCGGGTTTGGTACGTCTTGTACAACTAATGTAGCTTGTGCCTTTGCTTCATCCAACTCTGTATGAGCAACACAAGTGTAAATACCAGAATCTAGCTCAGTCGTTTTTGTGATCATTAAAGAGTAATCAGTGCTTCGTATGAATCGTGGTTCCATCTCAAAATCGATGGGTTCGCCGTTAGATAACCAGTCAATTGTAAGTGTTAAACTTGAATCCGTAACAGCGTTACATCTAAAGGTTGCAGTAGAACCTGCAGCAACTTCATAATCCTCCGGTTTATCTGTAATTCTCGTATGCTCTTTTACTACTAGCTGACCAGAGGCTTTTACATCTCCAAATTTATTGGACGCGTGGCATGTATAGCTGCCAGCATCTAAGAATATTACATTCTCGATTTCTAAATCGCCAGAATCTAAAGTTTTATATCGTCCTCCAGTTAATTCTTGTCCGTTTCGAATCCATTTTACGCTTGGTTTTGGTGCTCCAAATACACGGCAGGTAATTCTCACAGTTTTGCCATCAACTGTAGCGATAAAAACGGGAGGTTGTGTAATTTCGGGTTCTAAAGCTAAGACATTTACATACACGTCCTTATATACGTAACCCAATGAATTCGTTGCGTTACAACCATAATTTCCAGTGTCTTTTTTGGTTAATTTCTCGATAACAATAGAATTTGGTGTAACTTTTCTACGAGGATTTGGCGGAGCTTCTGATATTGGTTTGCCATTATAGATCCATTTTATCTCAGGAACAGGTACTCCATCAGCTGCACACTTAAATTCAACAGTTTCATCTTCTGCTGCATTTATAATTTCAGGCTCGATAGTGAAATACGGTACCGCCATTACTTGTAGATGTATGGAGTACGATTTTGCATCACCTACCCCGTTTGATGCTTCGCAAGTATATGTTCCTTCGTCTTTGAAATTGACATGATTGATAATCAAAGATTTACCATAATTTCCTTGCATAATTCTATCATTAGTTCTAATTACTTCACCATTTTTACTCCATACTATCTGTGGCAGTGGTGTTCCACCATATATGCAATATAATTCAATTTTTTTACCGCGTAAGGCAACTTCATGTTTCCTACTAACATATTGTTTAACAGGATCATGTTTGTTTTGACTAGCAGATATCCCTGAAGAGATAACATGCAATACAACTTTATTTCCTAATTTGTATTCATTTCTAAATACAGATGTAGCTGCACATACGTAATAAAAATCGTCAGAGGCATCGTTTCTTGTAACGTTGCTGAACCAAAGATTTCCTTCAGGATCTAAAGTCATTCGCGAATTATTAATCGACTTGATACCTCCGGCAGTATCTTGAATTAACCAATATACATTCGGTTTTGGCCAACCATCTGGTGGTTGACAAGTTAATTTAAATGGTTGTCCTTCATTTGCATCTAGACTTATAGAATTTTGCTCTTTGAATGAGTTCAGTTCAGCTTTCCTAACAAAAACTGAATTAGATGTTGCAATTCCCCATTCATTTTCGGCAAAGCATTGGTATTGACCCAAATCTTCATCTCGTGGTTTTGATATCACTAATGTACCTCTACCAGGTTGTTGAGATATACGATCATCATATACTGGCCATTCAAAATTTTTTCCATTCTTAATCCATCGATACCTAAATGAAATTATTAAATAAAATTTATATTTACATTACAAATATTTTAAACAATCTCATATTTTATATTGAACATTAAATATATTACTTATTACTAGTAAACTGTCATGTTAAATATGGTATAGTATTGACCATGATAAAGTAAAAACAAATCACAATGTGGTAATAATGTTTTCTATTTTCCTTTAGTATATTGTCAGACCACTCCCTTACATCTACAATTCACACCACAAGTTAGGTATCTTTATCAGTACTAGTAACTTTATACCCCCTAAGGCTATGAGGTCATTCTGGTAATTAAGATCAGTTACTCTGGCTTCTTTGCAAGACAGAGATGGAGCACTTATAGTGCATTGCATACAAGTGCAATAAAACTACATGAATAAAATCTTTATGGAAAATGTGTTCCTAACATTACATTACTGAATAATTAATTCTCATTTGTAAAGTGTTCTTTTTTTATGAACAGTATTAAGAAATACTAATAAAAAGTAATTTCTTTGAATACATTTCATATCGTTTGTTCAATATAAATGTTTGATAAAAATTAATAGTATATTTTTTATAAACATATAGAACGTGACATATATATTTTACGTACTTTGCAATTAAATGCATTTTACCTTGGAGCAGGTTCTCCTTCTGCTTCACATTCAATTAAAAATGGTTTGTCATTCTCATTAATCTTCGCTTGAGCCACTTGAAATAACTGTTCATCTGTCAGGGGTTGTTTGGATATCCGTGGTGGAGATTGGACTAATGGAAGATACAAATGACAAATGTGTATCATTGTTACACATTACAAAATAATTTACTGATATGATATGTAACCAAATATGTATTATGCAATAGTGAGATGTTTCATTTTAATAAAATTAACATAACTATTTAAATAAAGAAAAATTAATAAAATTATTTTTATAAAATGAAAACAAAATGACAAAGGAAGTGAATTTTGGAATGTAGTAAAATATAATGAAATTAAAATGCTTTCCTAGAATATCATCTCTTAATTCAATACATTATAATTGCATTAGGCCAAATTCATTTGGTGTTTTACAGAAGCAGGTAAAAGCTAAAAAATATTTTTTTATAATCGCTAATAATATAACAAATTTTTTGTATTAAAAGAGCTATCTGTTCTATGTGAAAATAATTAGGTGCATCTGGCGTTTACTACTATTTTCACCTCCTATAATATCCAGGACATAAACTATAATTAAAAATCACACATTGTTACATGAAAACTGATTGATCGTAATAAGTATTACTTCGAATTTATTGTCACCGATATAAAACGTGATGACGGAATTGCACTCACTTAAAGCCGATGCTTGCAGTATCAGTGTTGAGATAATACACACGATGAACTTCATGATCGGCCGATATTTTCTTGATCTAAAAAGAAATTTCCTTTAATTTTTTAAGCGTAAATATTTTTGGAAAGAAACAAAATGAATTTTTATAAAATATTAAAATTTTTCACTAAATAAATAATTGAAAGTATATGAGATTGAATTTAAATTTTGCATTAATTTTAAATTTCTTTTAAGTGATATAAATTATAAATTTAAAGATTCTATAGGTTCGTCCATTTTAATCTTCATGATTCAAATGAATCCGACAATTGAAATCATCACATTAGCCTTTGCAAACTCGATTCGCATTCATAAGGGACTTTTTTGGTACAACGTTGGATTAAATATCATTTGACCACTTTGTATATATGTATGTGTGTACAGATTGTATGCAAGAATGTCAGGATGAATATATAAAATCGCATAATTTAATGATTTTGAAAAGAGCGAATGAGTAAAAAGAAATTTTCAAATCCTGTGACGGATTGTTGCTAATGGAGACGTGAAAAATGGGCGTGCTCTCCAAAAGGGACGAACAATATAGAAAATTAAACGTGTTAGTAGACCGGCTAGTAGTGTAATAAAATTTGTAATATTTTATGAATACTATGTAAAGTCTATATTTTTACAGTGAAATCAGATAAAATGAAACAGGTATATATAACATAATTCCAGAATCGCGAACAATTGCCGGAACAGGTGATGGTGTTAGGATGATCTCACCGAAGTTGTCCTTCGAAATCACAACATCGCTGATGGAAATTTTACCGCCGTTTCAATCATCTATCTTTTTCATAACACGTTTACTTTGTTCATGTAATGTTTAAAAAAATCTGTATCGATCAAGTGCTAATTAGAGAACAGATTTCCCATGGGGACCAAAAGGGAAAAAGGGAACACACGGGGCTGGGCAAACGGGCACACCCGCGAACCAACATTGATCGCAGACGCTTCGTTCGTTTTACGAATTTTTTTCAATGCCTTGATCTACGTTACTAAGAAGTAATTCTTTCGTTTACCGTAATGAGCAGCTCACCTATTTCAACGTTTTGGAACACGTTTAAATGTTAAAATTCCGTCATCACCAAAGCATCATCGAAAAACCACTGACTCGCACACGTAACGCACCGTACGGTACTGTACACTAGTGTAGATGTGCACGTTGCATGTATGCAGACTCGATCCCCACCTAACGCCTTGATCACACTGATTCACACTACTATGTTTTCACTGAACTTTACGAACCACTCACATTGAGGTACTCTATGAAAAGATTTGACATTTTTAAGATTACTGTGCAGGGATATAAATGCGTTATATGATAAAATAATTGTTTATGAAACTTTTTATTAATATTTTTTTGTTAAATGCAAAGTCAAATATTTACAGTTCTTTGTAAAAGTCTTTTTTTCTTTAATTCAGTTCACTAAATGGTATGAATATTCCTTTATAGGAGTGAGTGTCCCTTGGCCAATAACGGTCGAAACAGATCGAAGATACTGTCGCGCCAGATTTAAAAAAGGCGCGTCCTTTAAGTAAACGTAATTCTATGTATAGTATCTTAAAGTGCAGCTGCGTATATTTTGCAAAAGGGGGAAGTGATACATTTTAAAAATGAAGATGAACGGAGTTAAATTATACATCGTTACATGCATGTAATTTGTTTTTTTTGGATTGTAAGTATAGTATAACATTTTTCAAATGTGAAATTTGTATCATACATATAATTTCCGCCATGATGCGTGTGTAAAAAATCAATACATTCTTTATGATTGACAGCTAACTGAAATAAGGTTTAATAAAATACTGTCCGATTTATGAGAACGGTAATAGAAAATATAATATTAATAGAAATAATCATGTAGAAATGGTATATATTTTAATGTGTTTATATTCATGGTAGAGATACAAATATTGTAATAAGATAACTTTGATATATCTTTGAAAAGCCAATAACAGATCCCTACTGTGATAAGAAATACGTTTGTGTAAATTTAAACTTCGATCAGAAACTTGGTATAAAAATATAGGTCAAGCCATATGCTGCAAGTTATACGCATATTCAGTAAAATCAATGATTTTTCTTGTACTCCAGGAAGCTAAGATGTACGATCGCGTTATCTATTTCGAATACAAATTATATTAATAATTACGTACATGAACATATTTAGTATTCATATATTTGAGCCACACAGAGAGTGATGACGTACATTGGTTACAAAACAGTCAACGCATCATTCTTTCTGACGGCAATTGATAGATCGTGTACAGAAAGAATATATTTTACGAAACATGTTGGATACCAAATACGTTCGTACTGTATATCATATTTCTTTTGTTTCGTTCTTGAAGTCTCGCCCTGTTAATTATATTTCCCTCATATATCGAGAGCTATATGACATTTATTATACTTAAATATGTAAACTAAACCTTTTAATGCATACTTCGAAGAAATGACGGAAACCTTAGCTTGATGGAAAAAATGACATAAAAGAAATATTGGTAATTGCTGATTAAGTTATATTACTTGAGCTAGGATGAAGTATATAATACAAATAGATGAATATATAGTCGTCCAAAGGGAGTTTAATATTTTTTAATTCATTTGCAATGCTTATTTGACATTCTAGCCTCGACGTGAATATGTATTTGGCAAAGTATCAAAAGCTGCAGTCAGGTCTATAGAACATGCAAGAGCATTGTTACAAATTTAGATAGAGTTACGCGAAACAAGTTTAAACGTGTATTTCGGATCGTTGCATTAAAACACGATTTCTTGGCAATTATAAATTTATTGCTTTATTGTCAATTTACAAAATAAAAATTTAACAGGTTTATACTTTATAAATATTAATAACAGCAAGATTAACGATAGAAGAAAATTCGTGATCGTAGTCTTTTTATACAGATTTTGTACAATTTAAAAATAAAGATATACCTTGATATTTTAGGTATTTTCCTGATTAGTCAGTTTAATTAGTAAAATTTAATTTCATTAAAAAACATGATATAACAAAAATAATTTAAATATACAAGAGCATAATTAAATACATTGTATATCTATTTAAAAGTAATGCAGTCTTGCGTATTTGTATAAATTAAAAGTCATTTTGTCATTCTTTATACAGTAAACATTTTGATGTTTGTGTCCTCTCATGATACACTATATTACACTATATAAATAATATAATAAATTGAATTCCTAATTATTAAATTATACAATTTGATACTGTTCTGGTTCTACTTCATTTATATGTCGTAAGAAAAACGTGACTTTAACTTGTTCAACATGACGACAGAGTTTCATAGCTAAACTCGTTCGCAATTTCATATGTTGTGTAAGAGATGGCAAATTCAATAACAAAAATGCTAGTCCATCAATTTCCTGTAAAAAAAGAAAAATAAATTAATAGAATGTATTTATATATTTTATAACTCCCCTATATATTTTTATATACCCTACCTCTTGTTTCACTCGATATGCAATATCTTTACAATCATTCGTTTTTCTTAAGTATCTAAAAACATCGTCTACACTCCAAAACAACGGATTTGAATCAAGTTTTCGCGTTTTTGGTCGCCTTTGTTTTTTTTGCATTTTTACATATTCCGATTCTCCATCTGAGCCATCAGATTCAATACTTGTATCCCAATCTCGTTCCCTCTTACTTGCCCTAGTAACAGTAGAACTTTGGCTAAACTTTGACGAATGCTGTTTGTTATTTAAACTACTAGGACTTCCTCCATCTTTTGCCTTTCTATTATCATTAAATGAACTTCCAGAGTCATCTGATGCATTACTTGAAGGAGGCTCAGTTTTAAATTCATCAGATTTTTCTTCTTTCTCTAAACCTTTTTGAATCATAATATCTATTTCAGAAAGTGGTGGCCTTCCATCAAGTGATTCTTCAATTCCTGATACGTGTTTTGCTAAATCTAATGACATAAATGGCATTTCATCTTCATGTTCAATATCTTCATGACTTTCTTTTTCTCTGTTTGCCCATCTTCCACGTCTTCTTTTTCTCCTGCCACCCCATGGTTTTGGTTTTTGTACCATAATACTTGTATAACCCTTTGGTTTACCTCTTCGTCCAGTACCCACAGATGCTGCTGAAGTAAAAAATTGCTTAACATTAATAAAGTAATGAAGATAAAGAATACATAAACCATTAATGTAATAGAAATGATACTTACTGAATTTTGCTTTTGATGTTTTATGACACTTATCTGGACATTCATTTTCAGGTACATACAAAGGACCAAATAAATTTGGACATACCATTAATTTTTTGCAGATATTTCTGCAAAAGTCAGCCACCATATCTCCAGATGTAACTACAGCAACACTCGCGCGATATGTATTATTTTTATGTTTAGCTTTTAGAACTTCTAAATGATATCCTGGATCTGGTTTTGAATCACACTGAAGCACTTTTAATATCCGAGCGCTTCTGTATCCCACAGATACAATCATTGATAAAACTTCTCTCATAACTAAAATTACGGGGCCCGGTCCTACCGCTTTCGGCAGAGTTGCTAATTTCCCTTTAGAAATCATAGGACCCGTAAAACAACGGTAATTGAAATATATCTTTGGGCACCATAATGAAGAGCGTGGTTCAGATATTGGTATATCTAAGACATTAGCTTTTTTTTCTTCTTTTGTAGGCATTTGTAGTTGTTTACAAATTTCCATATAGTCTTTTGGTGGTTTCAATGGATAATGATTAGATTCACACCAACCAACAGGGAATATTTGTAAGGAATACATATCAACTATATGTTCTGGTTTTGTATTTTCATAATTATCTAATTTTAACCATAGAAGATTTTCAACAATTTTTGTAATATGTGTGGCACATATAACATTTTCATGTTCTGGATCAACTGCCTCTAATCGCATACCACATTCAAAACCAGCATCAGTGGCACTTTGTCTTTCTGAGAATAATTTTTCTTCTGCAGCAGTTGCTTGAGTATCTTTTAAGTATTCATCCCAATCAAATTCGTCTTCTTTTGGAGTCCAACCATTTGGATGTACAATTCTAAAAATCATTCAAATGTTAAATTACAATATAAATGTCTGAATTAATTGTAAATAACTAAATATATTAAAAAATTAACATCTTTGGGATGTAATAAAATTGCAAACAAATAGCTTGAAAAATAATTATTTTCTTATCAAAAAGATTTTTTATATTTTTAATATGAAATGCAAAAACAAATACTTTGAGATTTTTATAAATAAATTTTAATAAACATTTTTATATTTTAATATATATAATAACATTTAATTAACTCTCTTACTTTATTCTCTCATTTACATTTTACAACATGGTTGAAGGCTTACTTGATATTGTGTTTTTTTGCCCATCCAACTGGAAAAATGTATGGATGCTCTGCTGTACAAAGCCAGGTATTTTTCTCTGTACTATTGTACATACATGTTTCAATATCCATTCCTTTTGACACTTCATCATATGTATCAATATGTACAAGAAAATAAATGTCATCAAAAACTTTTATAACAGTAGCTGGACATATTTTTATCTGATCAATTGGACTTAATGCTTCCAATTTCATGCCAACTTTAAATTCGTGTTTTGGATGATTTATAGTATTATGAAATAATTCTTCTGGAAGATCATAATTTTTTGGTACAGACTCTAATAGATCTTTCCATTCTTCATATGTATGCATCTCTACTATAGAACTGGGTGGTTCTAAAAACCAAGTAGAATCAGACTTAGATGCAAATCCATAAGGATGAAGATGTTCTGATGTACAGAACATCCAAAAATCTTTACGTGAAGAACCAGGAGCATCATATCGTAATAGAAGTCGTCCTCCTACATTTTCTATAATCTAGAAAGTATAATTAATGAGAAAATAGTACACATAGATAACAATTTATATATTATTTCTTACCGTAGCTACCCATAGTTTATATGGATGTAATATATCACTAACTTCAACTTTCATGCCTTGCTTGATTCTTTCTGTCATGCTTAGACCATCCTACATAAAACAAATTATAATTAGCAAATTAAACTACAACTTTTGTTATAACTGCTTTTTACAAATTTCTAACTGACTCCTGATAACATTTCTGGTGGAACACTTCGAGCTGTTGATAAAAATTCAGACAATTTTTCTATACAGTCTGGTGACCTTTGGAATATAATATCTGTTGGTTCCAATTTTTTATTATTTTTCACACACCATCCTAATTCATGAGCAGCTTCTTTTGTGAGATTGAACCAAAATTCCAATGATCTATCATCTCCACCAAAATAACGTAATCGCAATAAAGGTCCACATGCCATGACAATAGAAGCCACCCAATAATTGGTATCTTCTTTATCTGCTTTCTTTGGAATTGGTACTTCAAGAGACATTCCAATCTCAATACCACTCTGAAGTGTTAACTCAACATGTGGAAACATAATTTGTGGTACTTCAACACTATTTGTAGCATCCAGATAATCTTGCCAAAAAAAGCCATATTCTGAAAAATAAATTTTCATTTTATATTTCATAAAATATAATTTTTAATTATTTTAAGTTACAAAATTTATTAATA